AAGTAGTAGTAGTCGTCGTCGTCGTCGTGGTGGTAGTAGTAGTAGTAGGTAGTGGTAGTAGTAGTAGTAGTAGTAGTAGTAGTCGTAGTCGTAGTCGTAGTCGTAGTCGTAGTCGTAGTCGTAGTCGTAGGAGTAGGAGTAGGAGTAGGAGTAGCAGTAGTAGTAGTAGTAGTAGTAGTAGTCGTAGTAGCGTCAGCAGCAGGAGTAGTAGTAGTAGTAGTAGTAGTAGTAGTCGTAGTAGTAGTAGTAGTAGTAGTAGTAGTAGAAGATGCATGCGAACAATGGCAGCAGATGCTTTTGCATCGTAGACATACAACACCCGGGCAGGTAAGATGCCTGCCTGTGGCCTCTCTGAAAGTGCTGAGGTCAAGGCCCTCGGTGAGGCCATGCTCGAGGGCCGAGAAATTGTCCTGCGTGCCTGGGCTCAATCTCACGATCCCAAACCCAGTCACAGTTGAAGCGCGGAATTCGAGGCAAACTTCAAGCCATCCTCTTGGAGACCTTGACGGATGCCCTGAATTGCTCTGATGCGGTGCTAGACAAGCTCGCCGAGAAAGCCCAGCAGACCTCGGATGGCTTCATGCCGCACCTCGGCCGCCTGTGCTTTTGCAACGGTTTCTCCATGAGAAGTGTGGTCTGATATGTCAAAAGTCAATCTCTTGCACCCACGGCCACGCCGACGGTTGCAGTGCTTCACATGGCTGCCAAGGAATGCCACAATGGGGCCTCGCAATGTGTCCCACAAGGAGTGCAAGATCGTTTGGGGACTGGCCCGCTACTACTGCAAGGTGCACACAAAGGACCTGAATGAGACTGAGACGGAAGACTTGTCCGACAGCCTCGGCGCAGAAGTCGGAACCACGGACATTGACGCTGCAAACGATCGCCGCCTGGGCCTTGGGCGACGTCTAGCGGTCATCACGGACTCTTATGCAGCGCAGGAGGAGGAAGAGACTGCCAGTACAGCAGGTGATGGTACTTCAGCTACCACCACTACCACCACTACTACCACTACTACCAGTGCCGGCATGGGATCCACATCGACCTCCCACAGCATGGTGACCAGCGCCTGTTCCATTTCAAGCATTCTACTTTCTGTTTGGCTCTTGTTTTAGACTGCTCGCCGAGACGGGCAGCTCTCGATGCTCCCTTACCAGGGGCACGGCTCTCTGATGCTGAAGCTGAGATCTTTGGCAGCAGGGGGGTCTTGTACAGATCACGTTTCTCTTGCTCATGTGGCACAACGAATCCGCCCCCGAGTTCTCTGATCGTCTCGGGATTGCAAGCATTGATTGCAAGGTGGTTGCGCCTTGCCCCACGATCTGTGTAGTAGTCCGACTGGCAAGCTCCGAGCATTTCGAAGCCCGGAGCGGCACCAGCACCACGATGGTTCCCGGATACTGCTTCGCCGCCGAGCCTTGGAGCTCCGCACCCAAAAAGAAGCGCGGGATTAGGCTCCGAACCCCCAACAGAAGCCACAGAAAGGGTTCCGATCCTGGTCAGAATTCAAGTGGAGTCCTGCAGCCCGTTGTAATTGCTTGCTGTATCGAGGGTGCAGCTTCATGTTCGCAGCATTTCAACGCTTGAGGCCCTTTTGAGACGTTGGGCCACCTAATGAAGCCGTGTTTGCTTCGCATGCAAATCCCATAGGCCATGTACGGCTGGATTCAAGAAACGATCGAAGCGTTAGTCTTGGAGAAGTTCGGGAGTGAAGCTTGGCAGAAGGTCAAATTGGAGGCCGGCTTGGCTTCATTTCCAACTGGTGGCTTTGCAAGGAACGAATATTACAATGATGCCTTTACGATGAATCTCGTCAGCGCGCTCTGCAAAGTGTGCAAGCTCGACAAGGAGAGTGCACTCATCTGTTTTGGGGAATTCTTCATCTCCTGGCTAATGGATCACGGCTACGCGAGCATGCTGAGGAACCAAGGCTCGAACATGTTCGAGTTTTTGAGCACGGTGGACGATTTGCATCAGGGCCTCCAAAAGGGATTACCCGAGCTTCTGCCGCCTCGAATGATCTGCAGAAAAGGCAGCGATGCAACGCTGAGCCTGGAATACATTTCATGCCGGAGTGGCTTGGCCCCAATGGTAATCGGGATGGTCAGGCAGGTGGGTCGGCAATTGTTCCACAGTGACTACAGCTGCGTGATGGAGGCTCAGAAACAGTCCGAGGGTGAAAATGGGGAGGCCTTGGAGCATACCTTCTTCAAGATCGCCTGCGTCAGCGGTCGGGCACTGGACCAAGCCCTGGGCGAAGCATCCGACCTCCAGGAGGAGGACTCTTTTGACGACTCCGAAGGCTCCCTTAAAAGCTCGGCGAGGGATATCGAGAATTACGACTTCCTCCAACAAAACCCAACCATGGCAGGCGCGTTTTCTTACATCCTAGTGGAGCGTGTGAAGCTGTTGGACTGCCCGTTGAAATCCCAGCACTTTGGGGCACAACTTTGAGTTTGCGCAGCTTATGTCGCTCATGGCGTCCTACAGCCCAGAAGCCGCCGTGGCGCTCTCCGGGCTCTTCCGCCAGCCGCTGAGTGACCCTACGAAGTGCACCCCTGTGCCACGACACGCTTGCATCTCTGGACCTGGGGGAAGGGATGGGCTTTTCACAAAGAGCTACGACACTATTGTCATGAACCCAAGCATTTTTTCTGGACATGACCCCTTACTGCTTTTGACCTCTGTAAAGGGCTACAGACAAGTGCCTGTTGAGCTCAGTGTTTGTGTCATTCCTGATCCTTTGCGCAGCGGACAGATGCTGAAGTCTCTGGCCAACACTCCAAACGATGATGTCCTGGCCACCATCGCTGCACAGGCGTTGCTCGACGCAGCGTGGGCCCTAACACGAAGCCGCAAGATTTTCGACATCACTTGTGAGTCCATCATCCTACTGTTCACATGTAGTTGGATCTTCTTCCGCGAGCACCGTGGATTGTGGCCATGTTTGGTGTTCTGCTTAATGAAGGAGTTTGTGGAGAAAGGCATCGAGACTGTACGCTCTTGGAAGAAGGGCTGGTCGGTTCCACTTGCCTTGGTGGCTGGAACAGCACTAAACATTTCTCTGTATGTGATCCTGATATACCAAGCGATGATCAGCGACGACTACCCAAGTGATCGAATGGGACAGATTGCTATCGCAGTTTTCGGCTGCACACGTTGGTGGTCCTTGCTTGCGCATCTGCGGGGCTTTAAGGCGATAGGCTCTAAGATTTTGCCTATCCTGTACGCCTTGGGAAGCATGGGCCCTTTTCTGCTTGTATTTGGTATCATCATGCTTGGCTTTCTCTCGTCCTTCTGCGCCCTGTCAGATGAAGCCCTCACCATGACACGCGTTCGTGGAATTTATTTCTTGGCCATGCTTGGTGAAGACGGCGACACGGTACTTGACGGTGCAAGAGAAGAGTGGTGGTTAGACAGCTGGGTCTTCCTCTTTGTTGTCGTGATGTGCTTGGTGCTGCTCAACATTTTGATTGGCATTCTAGGTGAGGCTTACGACATGTATCGGGACAGCGCTGAGGTAATCTTCAGTCGCGAGCGAGCTCGTGTGACTCTCAGCGTCACCATGCGCCTCTTGCCCATGGCATGGCCAGAGCACTGTGGAAACAATTTGCAGCGGCTCTTCCTGTCTGTGTTCACAGAGAACACGTGTGGACGCCATAAGAAATACCTGTGGGCCGTTGTACCGCAAGATCACAGCTTGAATGTTGCGCGGATCACTTCGATGAAAGAACATGTGTCTCGCGAAAGCGATCGTGCAGTCCAGGCCGCGAAGGTCACCCACCAGCGTTTGGAGCAGTTGGAACGAGATTGGAAATCTTGGAAGCATCCACCGGCCAAGTGCCCTTTTTCTGGCGCACCTCTCGCGTCTGGATGTCAGCCATCATCAGGCCACAAGCGCCTGGATGTACCTGGCCAATCCAGCTGACTCTTCCCTGAACCGCAGATTTGCGTGGTGCCTAAGGCACCAAACAACCTTCGTGAAAGCAACTGAGAGACTGGTTTTGAGAATAGGTCCTTACAGAAAGGACCCAGCACCTTCTCAAGGAATTCAAAATGCCTCAGGCACTTCTCAGTCACTGGCGGCACCTCTCAACATGGATGTGTCTGTACAGCTATAAATTTGCTGAGACGCCCCACGTTGCATCGCGAGCGCCAGGGCCAATTAAATGAGAAGGTGTGTGGTCAGCTCGCCCTCAGTGTTGCTCCCCGCGACTTGTCGTCATCATCGTCATCTTCTTCCTTTTATTGCGATCATTATTGCTATTATCAGCTATGTTGTATTGTTATCATGTTGTTCTATTGTTGTTGTCATGTTTTGCCCGAGCGAGGGTCCAGAAGTTTTCTTTGTGCCCTCGGCATTACTGGTATTAAAAATAGATCACTAAATA